TCGTTGATAAAAACAACTTATTACTAATCTATGTGGCTTGGCAGAGGGCTGGATATTTAAAATAATTCGAAGGCTTTTATTCTTTTTATCAGCCTTCAGTTGTCTCTCCCGATTGCTACCCCTGGGGGGAAAGTTACAGTAACTGTCCCTCCAAGACCTCTGCCACCCGCCCGATAATGCAGCAGCATTTGGCAGAATTTCTTTATATGGAGCCTCTGAATGTCTGAAGCTAGCAAATAAACTTAAAAAGTCTTCGTATATAGAACAGCGGTCAGGGGCTTATTTTCCCCCCACGAGGGCTAACATCTGTATGTCAAAGACTCAGGTTTGAGACGCCGAAGTTTATAACTTAGCCTTAATTATTAGAGATGGCTCAGACATTTTTTATGAATTTAGAATCCCCACTACAGTCAACAAATTCAGGGGGGCCCCTTAAACTGCTTTGCATCTGGAGTTTGTCCTGTATGGAATTTGCTTTTATAGCAAAGAATATATTTTGTGCCATATGTCTGCACACTGGCTCCACTATCAATCTTTCCCCTGTAAAAAAGTCACTGAAACCTACATCAGTTTAGGAAGCATATTACGTACACTTCCTTAAAGTAACCTCTGCATGTCTTACACTGGTCATTTGCAATTAACTTCAGTGGATTCCTGGAAGCCTGCAAACTTTGTGCGTGCAGCTTGGTTGAACCTAGTACGATTGCAATTTTGAGGGGGAAAAAATCTCTCTCCCCCCACCCTAATTCTGCATCTGGATTATTGCCTAGATAATTAATTTGACAACCGGACCCAAACTCGCAACTTTCTCGAAAATTAAATAACCTCAGGTTCAACTGTATTAAAAAAATCCCAAACACCTCAGCTTCAGACAAAATGGATTGAAGCGCTAACTCACAGCACGTTCATCAAGCTCTGGCCCCCATTTTCTGTTTTTATAATCACACTTACACCTTTGTTACAATTCACTAACAGTGGAACCGTATTATAATACATATTACCATTCACGGTCTACCACTGTATGCACTCAATTTCATAAACAGTCAAAGATGCTTGGCCCCAATACATATTCATTCCTGGTTGCTGTATTGCCATTTCTCAGCTGTTAAACAGCTACATGAATCAGCAGCAAGTGTCACAGCTTAAAATAGATGTGTATATGAGGGACGCTCAGGTTCAACGCACAACCTCATTCTTGCCCCCTGGACTAGTCAGAGGTAGACATGTTGCTTACTCAGCATGCTCAAGTTCTGGGAGGAGATCTTCATACTAATGGACACTGTTGAGCCGATTATTAAGCAGAGACTTTGAAGGGCACAGAAGAGCACACTTCTGCAGCTACTTGGTCTTCTGTGCCTGGAAGGATAACGATACTGTGCCACCTTCTAGGAAGTCTGTGCAATTTGAAATGTTGGGTTCTTCAGGACACTGACAGGGATGCAGAAGGCCTACAGGAAAAATATAGCCTTCTCCCACTTTAAAGCCTGTGTTTTCCAGCATTCAGATAGCAAAGTGATGCATAACTTTACTGTTTCATAGGTATAAGAATTGTCATTCACAGCTGTAGCAGTCCCTCTTGAACAGGAGCCTGTCTCTAATGCCTCCACCAGCTGCTTTAGAGAAGTGTAAAAAACCTCATAGTGTCTTGTTGTGGGACATCCCATACTTAAAGGAAGTTTCTTCCTAACTCCCATGAGTGAATGGTTGCCTTACATCCTGAAGCAGGAGGATTTCTATCCCAATAAAACATAAAAATTTTCCTTCAGTGTAACAACATAAACAAGATAACATAATGTATACTTGATCCTACATCAGCACAGGCCGCTGGACTAGATGACTTCCTACATTTCTATGATTCTATGGCTCCCTGAAATCATTCACTGTTAATTCTTTTCAAGGTCTCAGCTGAAAACCCCCCCCAAAAAACAGCTAACTGGCCTGAGTACATGTTCAGTTATGCAGTGAGATAACAAACAAGACAACTTGGCTTGAATTTAATTACAGTGCTAGCAAGTCATCGGTGCCACTCACAAATACATTGTTGGTACTATACGTTTAGCGTAGTGCAGGATGCGGGGTGCATCAATGCGTATTTTGGAAAACCAAGCAGTATGCTACACATAAATGCCCTTTATCTGACTGGATAAGGTTTATGGAGATGCATCTGACATATGCAAAAGTGGCTCAAGCACTGTTGCGCATCTACTGTTAGTAGAACATGAATTTATAAGGCAGTTTACTGTATATATTTACCTTAAAAATAATCCAATGCAAATCAAAGGGGAAAAAAAGGTTCCTACAAAATATGGGAATGGGTCACTGCTCTCTCAGCACAAGAGGTTTACTATAACTACAGTGCTACTGTAGATGATACGGCACTTGCTCTGGTAACTACAGTACATGTTTGTTGAGTAGCAGAGTAACTGACTGAATATTCGCCTTTTTGAAAGTCACCTTCCCAGTGCAGAAACAAACTATGAAGGATATCAGTTACATATTTGTGCCTAATTATATTAATACACGAATTATATGCCCTTTCCATCTAAAGTAATAGACTTCAAACAAGCTAGATTTTCTAAATTGTGCCATTAGGAAATTCAGCTATAGAGATGGCAGTTCACATAGCATTATGTTATATCGTTTTGTATTGTGATTTTGCTTTCAAGTTAGTATCAGTTTGGTGGCACTCACAGCTTTGGGAGAGCAAACAGAAAGCTATAAGACTCATATTGTGATATGGCTCAACTGATGTGAGCAGAAGAGAGAAGAAAGCATGTTAGAAAAGCCCTGGGGTCAAAGTAACACTAAATAGCACGAAGTTCTGTAAGGTATATATGGAGAAATAAACTTCAGCAGCCACTTTGTACCCAGAGAACCTCAGGCGGCTTCAGATCTATACTCATGTGGGTGCAACTATTAGAAAAATATGTAGGCAATTGCACACAATTTGCATGCACAGTTACTAAGGTGCTAGCAGCCATTTGGAAATTGGTTATTTGCATGTCCAAAGCAGTGATTTTCAGATCAGACCATGGCAATTGCATAGGCAAAGTAGTCATAGAATCATAGAATATCAGGGTTAGAAGGGACCTCAGGAGGTCATCTAGTCCAACCCCCTGCTCAAAGCAGGACCAATCCCTAGAAAAATTTTTACTCCAGATCCCTAACTGGCCCCCTCAAGGATTGAACTCACAACCCTGGGTTTAGCAGGCCAATGCTCAAACCACTGAGCTATCTCCCCGCCCCCGGGGAGATATGCATAATTTTGTGCATCCATGCAGAGTTATAAAATCAGACCCACTATATATAGCTCAATAGCTACAGCCTCCCATTCGGACGAGCATATACGTCTAGTTTGTTTTTTATCCCTTAACACTTCCGCTCCCTACTGTATTAATATTAAATATTCTTGAAGGACTTCTGTCTTTCTATCTTATCTACCAGCATCTCTAAAACACCTAACACCATAATACCTAAGTACTAGTTTTCCAATATTCTTGTTCTTCAACATAATCGTCCTCTAGTGAGTGCCCTGTGTAAGTGACATGACCTTTCTTCCTGGAGGGGAGATGTGAAAGGTCCCATTCTCTTAGCACCACTTGCTAGCTAATCTGCGACATGGCATTATGTCATAATTGCATAATAGCAGATTACTCCATAATTGCCCATTATAGGAATTTTGACACCCTCCTCTGCAGCCTCTGGTTCTGGTCACTATCAAAGACCAGATATTGTACTGGCGAGAGCTCTAGGCTGATCTGGTAGCAATCCCTGTGTTCCTACATCACAAGAAGCTGGATGCTCTAGACAGAGATGTTGAGTGATGTTCTAAATGCTGTCACAATGGACAAATACTGTATGGAGGAAAACTGGAGAGAGAAACCTAAAACATTAACATCATTCTACAGTGATACCTTGTACCATCAATTGCAACAGTTGGACTGCTATAAACTTAGCTTTCATAGTGGGACACTATTTAGGTCAACTGTTCAAAAGGAAACATACATAGTCAACATTTTTCAAAAAAATTTCTGGATCTTGAAAAAAAAAAAAGATTGTCAGACCCTTCATAGGCTCAAATGTTCAATGAACATTTCAGTAACCTGCCTATTCACAACAATGGTGAACTATGAAAACTAGAGGGATCTCACAACATGGACATACACAGTCTCACATTTAAATAAAGTTGGCGAGTTAGCTTATGTTCTTCAGGAGTGTCCCTTTAATCATCTTACTATTTTGCAAAGTAGCCTCTTCTAGGATATAATAATTCTGCTGCCTTTTGTTGATCTGAGTCCTATAGGATCTCTTATGATAGACAAAGCCAGAATCCAAATGTCATTAATTCATATGGGAATGTTCACTGGAGCTGTTGAAGTTGAAAGAGTCTGTAGTTTTCTCTTTCTCCCTACCTCTCACATTAAACAAATGTTGTGTTGTCTAATGTCAACACAGAGGGTCTCCCTACGTCATACGACAGACTGCAAGTCTCCCTCAAGTCACACCTGGACTAAGCAGGTATGGAATGGACTGCTGAGTACACTACAGATTGAAAAACACTATTAGAGATGGTTCTGAGAGGCAGAGTTCTAATCTGGATCCAAACTTCCCCAAATTCCATGAGTGCTTGGATTTGAGGTTTGCTTTGAACCATTATAGGAACAGGGACCAGCTGCAAAATTGAGATTTGCATAGACCTTCGATTTTTGTTTTGTTTTGTTTTGGCACATCCACATAGTCTGTATTTTAAGACTAAAACATTGATATTTTCTGCCAGAACAAGTAGCTAAACAATTCAGCACAAAGCCACCAAGATGTTTCGCAAAAACTTTTACAACAGTTCAAACTTCAAACTTAAAATAAACACAACATACAGTGAATAGCGAAAGGACTAATATGCAGCAAACACGCAGAACACGAGCTCACCTTCTGTGCTCATTCCCAATTTCCCTTCAACTTTGATCATGCACAGGCTAATTCCACATCCTATCCAATATTACCTTTTGATAATCCTCTTTAGATCGCAGAGCAGCTTCCATCTGTTCCTGAGAGAACGTGTAGATGGCCGAGCGATACTGTGTGCCAAAGTCATTACCTTGCCTCATTCCTGGGGAGAGAAGAAGCACACTGAACCATTAGGCTCATGCGTCTTATGTAATAGTATTGCAGTGTAACGATTCAATGGACCTAATTTTAACAGAGTCCATGCATCTGGACTAGCTGATTTTCTATTTCTCCACAGTCTTTTGTGGGCGTAGACAATTGGTATTTTTAGCAAGTCCATTCCTTTCTTGCTTAAATAGACATGAAGTGATTCTATTTTGATATCGCCATTTAAATGGGATGTACATTAAATATAAGCATATTATGTTTTGGTAAATCACATAAGCAGTCAAATACAGATGTAAAGCCTTAAAAATATCAATGAGCTGGAGACATATTATGTGCTTAGTTCATTTTACTGCAATCAAGATACTCCTAAAATACTTATTTTGCATCATGTAAACACTCAACTCTTTTTGGTTTTGACAAGTGCTTAAAAATTTCCCTCAAATGAAGGATTAAATTTTGCTGAGGAAAAAGTTTGCAATGCACTGGAAGAGGCTGACAACCCTACCCTGTAACTGGGTGATGATCCTGTTAAAAAATGTTGATCATCTTGTAAAAAACTGTTACGTGTATTTTGCTGAGTCATAGCTGCAGCTGGCTCATTATCTCACCTGGAAGTAGGGGAGATGGGAATGCCCCTTTACAGAGAAAGGATCTAGGCTGAGCAAACCCTGGAGGCGGAATCCTGTAGGCAGCCAAGCTTGGTGAGAAGGTTTGGCTGGATTTTGTGTTGTTTCATATTGAATTCCTTTTGGGAATAAAACCAGACACTCAGCATCTTGTCACTCAGTTCTCCATCAATGTAGATTAATTGGGACCTGACCGAAAGACAGGCAGTTGGAAGAGGGTGTCAATTAAATGAGTAGAGATACACCTGAGGGGCTAATTGGGTGGAAGTAACCCCCCAGCTGGAACTATATAAACGGACAGGAAGGAAGTGCTCAGAAGGAGAGTAGCAGGACTGGCTACTGTACCCTTCTCCCAGTGCGAGTGGGAGAAACTGGCTACCAACTGTAAATAGGATGTAAATAATGCTCCAGGCTGTGGCCTGCTCAAGGGATAAAACAAAGCACAGTGGTGTTTCATGAGACCTGTAGTTGTGGTGGTCAGTCACTGATGCTGGAAAGGCCTAGTATTTAAGATTTTGTATTAGAGCAAGTAGGGAATGGCACAAACACCAAGGTATTCAAAAGGTCTCCACTCTAAGAGTACCTTTGCAACATACATGCATTAATTTGACAACGAATATATGCAGAGTAAAGGACACAATGCTAATATAAGACCAAATCCTAGTGGTAGACAGTCAATAACGTCAAGAATTTGGCCTTCAGATATGGTGCTGGTGAAAGTGGCAACAGTTAGAGTCAGGCATAGCACAGATACATGCTGGGCAAGTTTCCTCATGCAGCCAACTTTGCCAATGTAACTAATTCTCATGTGACACTCAGATGAAGTCAGCACTATACAAAAATCATTGCAGTCCATGTAAAAATGGATTAAAAACTGGCTACGTGATAGATCACAAACAATAAATATAAATGGGGAATTGTCATCCAATGGAGTTGTTTCTAGAGGCATCAGCAGGGATATGTTTGTGACCTAATGCTATTCAATAACTTTATCAATTATCTAGAACAGTGGTTCTCAAACTAGGGCCGCCACTTGCTCAGGGAAAGCCCCTGGCGGGCCGAGCCAGTTTGTTTACCTGCCACGTTCAGAGGTTCGGTTGATCGCGGCTACCACTGGCCGCGGTTTGCAGCTCCAGGCCAATGGGGGCTGCAGGAAGGGCAGCCTGCACATCCCTCAGCCTGCACCGCTTCCTGCAGCCCCCATTGGCCTGGAGTGGTGAACCGCAGCCAGTGGGAGCTGCGATCGGCCGAACCTGCGGATGCAGCAGGTAAACAAACTGGCCCGGCCCGCCAGGGGCTTTCCCTGAACAAGTGGCGGCCCTAGTTTGAGAACCACTGACTTAAGGGATCATTGAACATGAGCCTCCAGTTAGGTACTGTAGCTAAGAAGGCAAATGAGTTCCTTGAATGTATAAATAGGGAAATATTAACTAGGGTGGTGTTATTAACTACTTATACAACTTTAGCGAGACCATTACTAGTTATACCACGTTGAGTTCAGGCATTCACATTTCAGAAAGGATGTTCAAAAACTGGAAAGTGTTCAGAAAAGAGCTGCAAGAATAATTTGAGGACTAAAAGGCATGCTTTATTGTGAGAGACGTAAGAAGCTCAATCAATTGAGCTGATCAAAGAGAAGGTTAAGAAATGTCTTGATCACAATCTACAAGTACCTGCATGGGGAAGAGATTTCTGATAGCAAGCAGCTCTTTAATCTAGCAGAAAAAGGCATAAAAAGATCCAATGGTTGAAAGCTGAAGCTAGACAAATTCAGATGAGAAATAAGGCATACATTTTAAGTGAGGCTAATTAACCTCTGGAACAACCTACCTACGGATATGGTGCATTTTCCATTACCTGAAGTCTTTAAATCAAGATAGGATGTCTTCCTAAAGATATACCATAATTCAAATAGAAGTTACGGGCTTGATGCAGAAATTATTGCATGAGGGGTTTTGGTTTGTATTGTGCAGGAGGTCAGAGTAAGTGACCACAATGGTCCCTCCCCGCCTTGAAATCTATGAACTCAGCTTGCCCTGTACCGCCACCAGCTAGCAAGGAATTGTCAGGAGTACTAGCAGCTTTGTAATGTGACCAATTACCTACTAAGTTCTAGACAAGTTATTTTCTCTTGTAATTTACATAGATTTGTACCTAGGTCTCCAGAGGTGAAAAGCAAATGCACTAGCCAACTGTGTCATGTAGGCATCATTCTAAGGTATAATATAGATTCTGTGTATAGATCCATATATCTCTCACGTGTCACTGCTGCTGATATTGTTATTTCTAACATATTTTATATGTGCAGCCTTTGTTGTCAAGGGAGCATCACTGATTTTTAAAGCCCTTTGGCAACTATTACTTGTTGAAATCCATTAATCCACTGAGTAACAAACGAGGCAAGAAATTCAATTTACTAAACAACTGCTGTAGGATGATTGATCTTAATAATCCTGTCTTTGTTTAAGAGAAGATCTACTAAATCAAAAAATGATGTGAAATGTGCTATTTAAGTATCCCACAATGTCATCTGTGGTTAACTCTGCTCTCTTTTCTGAGCAGAGTCTTAATTGCTTTGTCCATCATGACATTACAGCTCTCACTCTCTTTCTGTCAACATAATAATATACTGCATATATGTAAGACTTCAGATACGAATTCAAAAATATGAACAATTAATGTAATAGAAATGCTAACACTTATAATGTGTTCTTTAGAGTTTTAATTTTAGCTTTTTTAAACTCTTTGCCATTGATTCTAGCAAAACCAATACTTTATACACGTGAGATTTAAAATGAGGTTTTGTTAAGGTAATCACAAATTGAACATGAATCAACAATGTGATGCAGTTGCAAAAAAGGCTAATACCATTCTAGGGTGTATTAACAGGAATGTCATATTTAAGACACGGGAGGTAATTGTCTTGTTCTACTCGGCACCGGTGAGGCCTCACTGGGAATACTGTGTCCAATTTTGGGCACCGTATTTTAGGAAAGATGTGGACAAACTGGAGAGAGTCCAGAGGAGAGCAACAACAATGATAAAAGGTCCAGAAAACATGACCCATGAGGAAAGGTTAAAAAAACTGGGTACAGTAACTCCTCACTTAAAGTCGCCCTGGTTAACGTTTTTGTTGTTTTGTTGCTGATTAATTGGAGAACATGCTCATTTAAAGTCGCGCAATGCTCGCTTATAACATTGTTTGGCAACTGCCTGCTTTGTTCACTGCTTGCAGAAAGAGCAGCCCATTGGAGCTAGTGGTGGGGGCTTGGAACCAGGGTGGACCAGCAACCCCCCTATCTGCTCCCTGCTCCCGTAAGTTCCCTGTGCGGCAGCCACCCAGCAGGCTATCAATTGCTAGCAGTTCAGCTGTCCCTCCCCCCATTGCTGTGTGCTGCTCCTGCCCTCTGCCTTGGAGCTGCTCCCCAGAGCCTCCTGCTTGCTGTGCAGGGGAGGGAAAAGAGGGGGGCTAATGTCAGGGTGTGCCCCTCCCCCCTGCTCCTGCCCCCTGCTTACCCCATCTCCACAGAACGGGGGGACACGACAGGGCTCAGGACAGAAGGCGTTTGCTGGCAGCAGCTGCTGTCTCAACTTCCTGGTCTACTTAAAAAGGGAATTTATTTAGAGTGGTATAGCGTACTTAAAGGGGAAATGCTCATCTCTCTCTCTCACACACACAGGGTGTGTGTTTCTGTCTGCCTTGCTGTCTCCCCTCACTCCATTCGTGCTGTCTTGTAGAGTGTGAGGCAACAATTAACAACAATTAACAACAATGGGTTAACCCTTGAGGGCTCAGCCGAGTGCTAGTTCATCATTTAGCAGTAAGGCATTCCCTGGGAAATATCCCACCCTGTGACTCCACCACCTCAAGCTTCACAATCATCATTGCTGTGTACAGTATTAAATTGTTTGTTTAAAACTTATACTGTGTATACATACATATAATAGAGTCTTTTGTCTGGTTAAAAAAATTCCTTGGAACCTAACCCCCCTATTTACATTAATTCTTAAGGGGAAATTGGATTCGCATAACATCGTTTTGCTTAAAGTCGCATTTTTCAGGAACATAACTACAACGTTAAGCGAGGAGTTACTGTATGTTTACTCTTGAGAAAAGAAGACTGAGGGGAAAAAGTCTTCCTCTTTATAACAGACCTTAACACATTTGAAGGTGATTAATTGTTCTCCATATCCACTGAAGATAGGACAAGAAATAATGGTCTTTATCTACAGCAAGAGAAATTTAGATTAGATCTTAGGTAAAACTTTCTAACTATAAGTGCGCTTAAGCTCTAGAATAAACTTCCAAGGGAATCTCCATCACTGGAGGTTTCTGAGGACAGGTTGGACAAATACCTGTCAGGGATGG